ATGACCTCAGAGACAGACTATTCTGTAGCCATATGGATGATTTCCCCTACTGCATGCATTACGATTTCAGAACCTCTGAACCTTTTTCCAACCACGTATAAGAAGTGTATCCACTTGGCTGAATGGCTAATATCCCCAAGGTCACCTAAAATTTGTTCAAAGGTCGTCCATAAATTAGAGTTCCGCCCCAATTAACTCTTTCTGTTATATAGCTTTGTAGTATATACTACTAATGTTAACAGTCATGAGTAGTATATATCGTCAATCGAAAGTGTAATATCTAACAGTAAAAGATTAAAATGATCAAACGAACAAGAACAAAAACAATGAATGATTAGCGTGGAAATGAACGAATCATGAAGTCTGGGGTGATTGATTGACTAGCATTTTGCAAATGAAATATTTACTTTATGATTATTAGATTTTACTAAGATATTCTGTAATTTTGTTGCTAAGCTGTCATCATTCCTTGATAAATAATGATCTTTCATAGTCAAAAAATCAAGTGTATATTATATTTGAATATAATTCCTGCTTAATGTAATCTAAAGTATTCAGAAGTTGAACTGATGTATGTTACCGATGTTAATCCCGAAAGATCAGTTTTCTATGATCGCAACAATCCACTTGATTAGATAAAATTAATTAACGCAGTAGACGTCCAACTTCGAGATCAACAAGCTGGATTCCGTAAGGATCGGTCGTGCACAGACCAAATTGCGACACTACGGATCATCGTCAAACAATCAGTTTAATGGAACTCGTCGCTATACATCAACTTCATTGATTATGAAAAGGCGTTTAACAATATCGATAAAAGAACATTATGGGAACTTCTTCGACACTTCGGAGTTCCTGAGAAGATTGTCAATATTATCCGGAAATCATATGACGCAATACAGTGCAAAGTCGTGCATGGAGGACAGCTGACAGATGCATTCCAAGTAAGGACCGGAGTCAGACAAGGCTGTCTACTCTCTCTCTCTTCCTCTTTCTTCTGGTGCACGACTGGATCATGAGGACCTCGACATCTGAGGGAAAACACAGGATACAATGGACAGCTCAGAACCAATTAGATGATTTGGAATTCGCAGATGACCTGGCCCTCCTATCGCATACACACGAACAGATGCAGATATAGACAGCCAGTGTAGTAGCAGTCTCTGCATCAGTAGGCCTCAACATACACAAGGGGAAAACCAAGGTCCTCAAATTCAACACGGAGAACACCGATTCATTCACACTTGATGGCGAAACTCTGGAAGATATAGAATCTTTCAAGTACCTGGGATGCATCATAGATGAACGTGGAGGATCAGATGCAGACGTTAAGGCAAGGATTGGCAAAGCAAGCACAGCATTCCTATAGTTGAAGAACATATGGAACTCAAATCAACTTTCAACCAATATCAAAGTGAGAATCTTCAATACGAACGTCAAGAAAATCCTACTGTACAGAGCTGATACGTGGAGAACTACTACGACCATCATCAAAATGATGTAAGTATTTATAAATAGTTGTCTATACAAGATGCTCAATATCGGTTGACCGGATACCATAAGCAACAAACCAAATTCCAGTTGAAGACGAAATTAGAGATATACATCGGAAGTGGATAAAACACACATTGTGGAAATCATCAGACTGCATCACAAGACAAGTACTAACTTGAAATCCTAAATAGAAACGAAAAATTGAAAAACCAAAAAACACATTGAGTCGGTCATTTAAAGCAAACAGACATGAAAAAGATCAATAACAACTGGAAAAGAATTTCTCAGAGCGATCTATGCTCTTCCATGAGAAGTAACAGGCGTAAATATGTCAATCAGTAATTTAATGTGCAACAATTCAATCGTTATACTAGGGATTTTGTTTTACTGTATATTCTATTTTATTTCTAATTGAATATTAAAACTAGACAAAATCCTTGAACTTAGTTTTATTTAAGATTAAGCTGTTTACTATTATTATGATCATCATCATCATCATCATCATCCATTTGAAGTATGATTTCAAATGTATTCAATGTATGATTTATAGTTTTGTTCTATGTAATCATGATTGATTGATGTTGACCTTATTAAAGCTTCCTGTATGAATGTATCTGAAATATAAAAAAAAGTCAACATAGTTACTTATCTCTGTAAATGATACTATAAATAACTTCTCTCCACTACATCAACACCCCCTCACCACCACCCCCACCACCATGCTTTTCCATAAACTAGTTTATATATATATAGGATCTGTTCAGTATGTGCATGAATTGAATCCCAAGGGGTTTTTGTGGATATTATAGTAATTTCAATAGTTGAGATCATGAGTCAATTGAAGCTAGACCAATATAAAAAACCTGGAAGCACTGGATAGCCGTTTCATCCCAGTATGGGATTGATGAGCAGTGCATATCCACAATCCCGCCTCGAGAGATTCGAACACGGGACCTATCGGTTATTCATGGAAACGCTTAACCTATAAACCACTGAGCCTGCCAGCATTCAACGGTGTTAATGTCTAACTTTAACCAATTCACGAAATTGCGTCATCGTCTACCATAGTGTTCAGTGAGTTACTATCTCATAACAGATCCGGTTGAACTCCACTAGTCACTGCTTCTCACTAGAACTCCAGGAAATACCTCTTGGAGACCATCTCATTACTGAGCATATGGTGATTATAATTAGAGAGGGGTTTTGTGGATATTATAATAATTTCAATAGTTCAGATCATGAGCCAATTGAAGGTAGACCAACATAGAAAACTTGGAAGCACTGGACGGCCGTTTCGTTATATTGTGGGATCTCTGGTTTATTTTTTCTTAATCTGAATTAATTATTCGAATGATTATAGATGAACTAAATTTCAGACAATCATTTCTTTAAACAATTCTAGTATCAAAAACATTGGATAGTTGATAGAAATTCTGTGTGAAAATCATGAATCTCTCGTTCGCAAGCGAAACTACTAGGTCCTGGATTTGAATCTCAAACAGGTGGGATCAGGGATGCACACTGATGAGGAGTTCCACAATAGAACGAAACAGTTGTCTAGTGTTTCTAGATTATCCATAGTGGTCTAACTTCAATTGACTCATGAATTCAACTATTAAAGCGACTAAATAATTTGGAATTGTATTCACTTACTGGAATATTTTATAGAATAATAATGATGGGGGTGTAACATGTATGTTTCCACAAAAAGGGAGTATTTTGAAAGGTGTATAATGTATGTATATTGATAAGTCTTCTGATTGAACGCCGGATTCAGTTTCCTAGTCTCTTCTAGTAACAACCAAACTAAATATACACGGCAACTTCAACAAAAGAGAAAAGGTGTGAAATATGGAAGAAAACGATTTATTACAAGGTTTGTTTATGTACAGAAAATCTAGAGTTTCTATAGCATTTTAGAAGAACTTGAGTTTGTGGAAATTCCTGGGACTCTATTAAATATGGTAGTAGCAATATAGGTAATCATCGATTCAGAAACGTGATATGTGACATTTCATCTTTATAGATGTTTCCTGTCAAAACTTCTATTGAATGTTCAGTGTTTACAGAGTCATTTTTGAAGCTTTTCCTTCGAGAAGTTTTCTGGATCTCCTCAACAATATATTGAACAAGATGGTAGTACAATTCTGTATAGTAAATTAATTATTGTTCTCTTTTAGATTATTAATAATTTCTCGTTTTGCTTAATTAGTTAAATTGCAATAACGGATCTATTAAACGAAATGCAGTATATCCGATTGTTGAGATCATGAGTCGATTGAAGTTAGACCAGTATGGAAAACGTGGAAGTACTGGATGGCCGTTTCGTTCTATTGTGAAACTTCTCGTTGCCAGTGCGTATCCACGATCCCGCCTTGCGTGACTCGAACCTATGGCCTTCAGTCTCGTGCGCGAGCACTTAACCATTAGACCCTTGAGCGGGCATCTAACGATGTTAATGTCTAACTTCAACTAATCGACGAAATTGAACGATTTAAATGAAAGAATAAAGAACACACCGCGTCGGGAATTGAAAGTAGACATCAAAGGAATGAATAGCAATTGGAAATAACTGGAAAGGATTGTCCAGAGTATAGTTGGAAAGGAAATGTTGATAGGCGGCCTATACTCCTTCACGAGAGATAACACGCGTAAGTAAGTGGACATCCAATACTTACTCTGAATAATCTCTACTATAATCTGAAGAAAATTTTCACCTCATATTATTCTTGATGAAACTGATTTGTAAAGAAAACAATACTTGGATATTGGTGTATATTGTGAATAGTTCAGTGAAGAAAATTAGAATGTTGAAACTAACAGTGATTTCTCAAGAATTTATTTGACATCAAATATCCATGAATCAGGTTAAATGTTAGATATACCTTATTTATTTATTTGATCACAGATATAGTGATACAAGAGCCACCGTATACATATGCACCACACAAGTCATTTGGTTTATGTGTAGGTTGGGATACCGCCCAGGTACCCAAACCGAAGCAAGTGGTTTAATTCGGGGATCACACCTTGAGCCTTCGACGTAAAGGTCTGGATCCACAAGGCAATGGAGCAACGTAAGGAGATGCAGTTCCATGGTAGCCGGTGACCAACAATAGTTTTATACACCATTTTTTCCTTCAAGATTCTGAAGCCTATTTACACCAATGATTTGGAATGGGGATTTTCTAACTCCTCTAGGTAAACTCTCCATGTCCAGTAATCAGGTCAAATCATCAGACATTCCCTTTACATCCTCTCAACTTCTTAAACAACACCGTCATCGCTAGAAGAGATTCAGTTGCTTCTCCTTGACAATGGCTGAATACTCATGACCATGTAAGAGCATTTCGAGAGGGAGAGTGAGATAACTCTTCCCACCCTCCGCTGTACTATTATCAATACTACTATTGATAAAACGAAGACAAACTCTCAATGCCTAACCCTATCCAGTAACAATGAACAATCATAGATCATAAACTCAAAAGAAATCAATCAAATCAAATGCATAATAATTTTTATTTTTCATTATTATTATTAATAATTGTGCTATGTATTTGCATTCTAATTTGCACAATTTTACACATCAATTTTGTGTATCACATTGAATGAGTTCTGACATAGAGTTTTCTGATTTAATTTGTTTATTTTTTCTAGTTTGACTTGTTAAATTTTAGATAAATAATTGATAGATGAATCTTGATTAATCGATTGATTGATTAATTAATTGATTCATTGATTTATTGATTGATTGATTGGTTGTTATTTGTTGTCATCATCTCTATCTGTTTATGATTAGAATAAGGTTGATCATTTACCAAAATGTCTACCCCAATCATTATGTCTTGATGGAATAGTTTCTAGAAATTGAATAGCAACAACAACAAGGAACACATTCAAAGAAGATCATTTCAACAAAAAAACGAGCAATGTATAATAATTTATGGACGAACCAATAAGGTTATAAGATAACAGATCTTGGATGTTGGCGCCAAAGGTATTCATTTATTTGTTAGATAGTATCTTGGCATTCATGAATCTAACTATCAAATGTGAATCATAATCTTTATAATACTCATTTTAGCACTAATAAGTAGATCGACACTTACAAAGTCACTTTAGCGTCCTTCAAAGGTCGTCCATAAATTATCGACTTATGGATGAATAATATTGTTTCTTTAAAAATCTATTGAGAATTATAACTAGTCAATGATTATATTGTAATGAAGGAGAACACAAACGGGAACAAGTTTGAGAATCATACAGTAAATATTTCATTACTTAAAGGATATAAATATAAAGACAAAGACAATGTGCTCCTTGACGTTTCTATTGAAGACTGTGATATTGATATTGATCGATAGTTGTTTTTAGTTACATATGTTCTTCAATTGTAGAAATGCTGTTGTTTCTTTGCCAATTCTCGCCTTTATGTCTGTATCAGATCTTCCTTGTTCATCGATGACGCTTCGCACGTACGTGAAAGATTCCACATTTTCCAGAGTTTCGCCCTCAAGTGTGATTGTGTTGGTGTTCTCCGTGTTGTATTTGAGGAAGTTGCTTTTTCCATTGTGTATGCTGAGGCCTACTGATGCAGAGACTGCTACTACACTGGTTGTCTTCATCTGAATTTGTTTATGTGTGTCGGGTAGTAAGGTCAGGTCATCTGGGGAGTCCAAATCTTCCGATCGATTACGAGCTATCTATTATATGCCGTGTTTTCCTTCCGATGTCGAGGTCTTCATAATCCAGTCAACCACCAGAAGGAATAGAAAGGACTCCTCATTAGCCGTACGCATCCACGATATACTTCATTCACTAATTGATGAATATAATATATACATTCCATTAGTTGATAGCACAATGATTTAAGGTCCGACAAATATGGAATGGATTCTCAACATGATCATATATATTAACTACTTTTGTATAAACCTAATTAAATAAGTAAAGCATAAGTTCGATGCCTTCTGATTGTCAACAGTTCCTTAGTTGAACTCAATTCATGATGTAAAATTACAAATCAATGAAGCAGTTTGATCCTTTGTAAAACACACACACACACAAATTTTATTTAACAATTCAAGAAGATACTTCCAAATTTATCATTTACACAACAGTCATAGCATAAATTCACTTGGTATTGTTTTACTTGTATCTTCCCATTGTTATTTAGGACTGTAATTGATCGTCTCATGTTGGCATATGTGTATTCTGTGCGAATTTCCTCGATATAGCCTTAAATCACAAGCTTTTTAAGCAAAGATAATATAGTGGCTAGCAGTGGAATCCAGGATGCGTGTTTCATCCTATTTGAAACTTGTCAGTCGGATGTACCTGTATCTCACAATTGATGTTCACTTCGAAACTCAAACCCAGTACAGTTTTCTTCAAACGTCATCGTGTTATCCACTTAACTATTGAGTCCTGTTAGCCACCTGCTTGTGCAGTAGGGTGAAGTTTAGATTTTACTTGGTGTTGTTTTACGTGTATCTTCCCATTATTATTTAAGACCTCAATTGATCAGTCTCATGTTGGCATATATGTATCCTGTGAGGATTTCCTTGATATAAGCTTAAGTCACAAGCTTTTTAACAGCTTAATATCTTGATTTATACATCTATTTTTAGGTGGAAAAAAACATTAAGGCCTATATAAGATGAATTAGCTTTATTTATTCCCATAGTCTAAGATGCACTACATCACATGGTTTAGAATCGAATGTATTGCATAACATTATAACGTGTTGGTTTCTTCGTTTCTTTAAAAATAAACAGAAAAAAACACCCGATGAATTAGTCCCTAGAATCAGTAAGAATATCCCCTAGATACATTTGTAAATATGTCTAATTAGTGTTACATTACAGCAACAACAACAACAACAACAACAACAAAAAGACCATTCAAAGTTCAACTGTCTGATCTCATTGAATCTTACATTAATCAAAGTATGTAAACTGAATAGTGTAAACATTATAATTTCTATTAATAGAATTATTATTCATAAATTGGTTGAAGTTAGATATTAACACTGGCTTAGTGATCTACAGGTTAAACGTTCACGCTCACGAGACCGATCGGTCCTGGGTTCGAATCTCGAGAAGCGGGATCATGGATGCACGTTGTTGAGGTGTCCCGCACTAGGACGAAATGGCTGTCTAGTGCTTCCAAGTTTTCTATGGTGGTCTAGCTTCAATTGATTCATGATCTCAACTATTAAAATTACTATAATATTTGTTAATATTCCAAATAAATGTCGACTAAAATGTTTAAAGTAACCAATTTGTTCAACATCTATACTCATTAGTAATGAACCTTGAAATATGTAGTCATTATCAATGACAGTCAGTCATATTGGAGTTGAAATAGTCATTGTGGACAAAAATAAGCACCCAGTGATTTCTACCTGAAGTTTATACTGAGGATATCGTTTAGAAGAACAATAAAAGCTATACCGATCAAATCATCCAGTTCAGAGAACAGAACTCTATCAAAAAAACAACAGTGAATACTATTTCATAAGTTAATTGACATAAGGAATTCTACATGATTGAATTACAGCTCATTGATACAAAAGTAATTTGTTCATGTCAGTCATTAAAGCTACAAAGTTCAATCCCTTATGTACTTATATGGTGTGTGCTACTTATATTGGCATAAGTAGTATGTGATGTTAGTCGTGAACAGAAAGTCTGGCAGCTGAGAGACAAGAAGATCGAACAGTGAAGAATGGAAACAGGATCCAATTTGTATGAAAATGCAAAAACAATGAAATCTGAATCATTTTGAGATAATTGGTGAACATTTTGCATTTACTTTATGATTGTTAGATTTTACTAACATGTCCTGTAATTTCGATTGTTCCCACTGGTGTTCTTGTTTACTACACTTATGGTTATACAGTATTGTGTAGTCGTGTGAGAAAGCATAAAATTGATTCAATGCTCAGTAAATTTCAATACTTATCTAACAAAGAAGAATCAGTGATTGTAACTATAAATTATACCAATAAATGGTAACTTCTGATGCTAAGAATGAATATATATTCAAGCATATATTGTTGTAAAACTATGAAAATCATACGTTATGTTAATTTTATGATAAATATTTAACGATTGAACATTTATTGATATTTAATAGTGGAATTCATGAGTCAATTGAAACTGGATTACTATGGGAAACCTGGAAGCACTGGACGGCCACTTCGTCCCAATTTGGGACTCCTCAGCAGTGTGCATCAACAATCCCGCCTCATGGGATTCGAACTCAGGACCTATCGGTTCTGGATTCTTTTCAATATCATTTGGACGTTTTACCACGGCATACTAATAATTGGCATGAATGAGACATATAAAAGTATTGGCATAGCTTGGAAAAACCTCTATGAATATTTGTAGAGACAACTTATTGAAGGTAAACAGGTCGTTTTTAATGGAAAAAGCATTTAACTAATGACCATAAACACTATGAAGATAATTCAGGTACATTTCGAACGACTAACAGACTAATCACTTAACAACAACATCAAACATGTGACATCTATCATTCTATCCGATCGTCGATTCACTGTTTAAGTTATTATTGATTAAATGAATTTGATAAAGCTATCTGAACCAACGATTATGAAAAACCAGGAAACATGTTAAGTATCTGAATTGCAATGAGATTACTAAAATGTAAAGCCAAATTGAAACATGTGTACTGTCACAAATGATACATTCCAAAAACGGATCAGATTAATTCATTTGGTATTGTTTACTTGATTTTTCCCATTATTGTTTAAGACCTCAATTGATCAGTTTCTTAATGGTATACGTGCATCCTGTAAGGATTGCATTGATATTGTTTTAAGTCAAAAGCATTCTATTCAAAGATGGATAGCGGCTAGCAGTGAAATTCAAAATGCGCGTTTCGTCCTATATGAGATATGTCAAATGGATGTACTTGCATTCCACAGTTGATGTTCATTCAGGGACTTGAACCCAGTACACTTCGCTTCAAACGCCATCGTTTTATCCACTTAGCTACTGAGTCCTCAAGACCACTTGCTTTCGTAATGGCATAAAGTTTAAATTCACTTGATGTTGTTTGCTTGTATATCCCCATTATTGTTAAGGATTGCAATTGATCAATTTCCTACTGGCAGATATGCATCCTGTACGGATTGCCACGATATTGCGTTAAGTTATAAACTTTCTAAGCAAGGGTGTATAGTGACTAGTAATGGAATCGAGGACACGAGTTTCGTCCTATTTAGATTTCGTCAGCTGTATGTACTTGAACCTCTGAGTTGATATCCACTCCGGAATTCTGTAATGCAGGTACATCCAGCTGACTAGCTCTAAATAAGACAAAACATGCGTCCTGAATTCCACTACTAACCACTATTCATCTTTACTTATAATAGATCAGATTAATCTTCTATTCAATTATATAAAATGGTATGTAGAAACTTTTATTATTCTAGTTCACATATTTACTGAACAACTAAATACTGTCTCTAAATTTGTTTTATTATTCTCTCACATTGAACTACTAATAACCTACTGTCTAAACTAGTGAATAATTCATTGTCCGGCTGTTGTTGTTGTTGTGATTTAGGCTACTATTGTGTTCTTTTACAATATGAAATGACACAAAAAAAAGAGTAATTTGTTTAGTTGTCGAATGTTTAATACCACATTGTTTTTATTAGCTTCTCTCTTCTAGATTTCTTCTTCTTCTTCTTCTTCGTCTTCGTCTTCGTCTTCTTCTTCTTACTAATGTATATCCGGAAACTAATGTAAACAATAGACTTATGTCTAGACAATAATACCTTTATGTATATGTATCTATATATAACCATATATATATCTTTATAATAGTCAATATGATATATTATTCATTAATCATTTGTTTTGATATTGTTCCTAATTTATCCCTTTTTAAAGGAGTAAGAAAAAGAGTATACACTACGGTAAGATGTTTTGTTTAGTTTGTATTCTGGTTATATCTTTTATTCTCTTGTTGTTGTTCTTCTTCTTCTTTCATTTTAATCAACGTAATTAGGGAACATAGATTGAATATTATCTATGGATACATGTATATATTTCTATAGTTGAGATCATGAGTCAATTGAAGATAGACTATCATGGAAAACCTGGAAGTACTCGATGGTTATTTCGTCCTAGTATAAGATACTTCAGTGGGGTTCAACTGCGACTATTGTGAAGTAGTAACTCATTGAAGACAATAGTGGATGTGTCATTCAATTTCGTAAATTAGTTGAAATTAGACATCAACACTGTTGGTAACCGGTTTGATGATCTAAACGTTAAGCGCTCGCGCTCGAAATCGGTAGATCCTGTGGTTCAAATCTCGCAGATGTGCATTTTCAAGGAGGAGTCTCACAACAGAACGGAACGGCCGTTCAGTGCTTTCAGGTTTTCCATGGTGATCTAGCTTCAACTGACTCATGAATTCAACCATTAAATTACAGAAGGAATTTCCATAAATCTTATTTGACTTATTCATTGGATAGAAAATTACTGTAACAACTAAAGTAATAAGGATTGTAAGAATTTAATTGAAAAAAGGACGATTAGTTGAGAGGATTATAGTGGCTCACAAAAAGATTTTTCTCTCATATATGGTTACGTAACTATGTTAAAATTATGGTAGATAGATAGAATTTCTAAACCATTATCCATATTATAATCGAAGATGGACGGTGGCTTGCATTGGAATCCAGGACACACGTGTCGTCCTATTTGGAACTCGTCAACCGGATGTAACCGCATCTGAGTTGACGTTCCCTCCGGGGCTCGAATCCAGCACCGTTTCCTTCAAACGCCATGGCGTTATTCACTCAGCTACTGAATCTGGTAGCCACCTGCTTGTGTAATGGGGTGAAGTTTAAATTCATTTGCGTCTTGGATTTCACTGCTAACCACCATCAGTTTTTACTTATAATGCTTGTGAATCAAGGCAATATTGAAGCAATCCGCACAAAATGCAAATATGCTAATAAGAGACTGATCAATTGCAGTCCTAAACATCAATGGGAAGATTCAAACAAACAATACCAAGTGAATTTCAACTTCACCCTATTGCACAAGCAAGTGGCTATCAGGACTCAGTAGCTAAGTGGATAAAACGATGGCGTTTGAAGCGAACTGTACTGGGTTTGAGTTACTGAGTGAAAATCAACTGTGAGATGTAGGTACATCCAGCTAACGAGTTCCAAATAGGATGAAACGCGCATCCTGGATTCCACTACTAGCCACTGTTCATCTTTGTTTATGATATTGTTGTTGTTTTACAAAAAGTCGGTATTGAACTTTTGAAACTTAAATCTGTATGATAGTTTTAGGATCGGCTTAATCGGTATTTTTTCTGTTAAAACTCCAATGTTATAAACATTTTTTATAAGACATGAGTGCCTAATATTCATGGCATCAGTAATGTGTTGTGTGCTTCTGATGTCAGCAAATATAACAAGTGTGTATCATCAATCGGAAGTGAAATACCTGGCAGATCGACGAAAAGAGAACGAGAATAGAGAATTATTGGTATGGAAACGGAGGAACAATCAAGTCGTAGACCATTCATTAACATTTTGTAAATGAAATATTTACTACACAGTTCTAAGGTTTTACTAAGATGTTCAGTAATTTTGTGTTCAAATATATTCGATTGTCGCCACTTGTGTTCTCACCTACTGTATTTGGTGTCGCTACCAACCAGGAAGGAGCACTGGTGCTTTTCTGAGGACGCCGTTGCAGGCCTGAATCCGAAGTGCCAGTTGTGAAGGTCTGGTGCAGTTAGGTGACGTGTTCTGGTGGGGCGGTGTTGGCTGTGGCTATTTCTGTCGATGAAGAGAAGCTGTGGGGCATGCGGCTGCTGGCATATATTGAATGTAGATGGCTCAGCAGGTCACTGATGCACAGGCGTTGAATGTGCTGGGTTGTGAGTGTACGTCCGGTTTCGATGGCCCGTCAGGTCAACGGAGATATGAAGGTCAACTCGTCACAGACTCGACATTTTGATGGAGAGTGTGGCACGGATTGCAAAAAAAAGAAGAAAGTGGCATAGAGAGCAAAACCACCGTAAGAACGACTGCTTTAAAGCGGGGATGAGTGTGGTGTATGCTACTTACGTCAACAGATATACCTAGTATGTATCATCAATCGGGAAAGAAATACCTGGAGGTAGAAGGTTAAGAAGATCGAAGAAACGAGGACGAGGACGAGAACGAGAACAAAGAATGATTGGTGTGGAAACGAAGAAACAACGAAGTCTGAGACGAATGATTGACGTTTTATAAATGGTTCTCAGATTTTACTACGAGATATCATTATTACTATATAACAATACAGTAGACTATTTCAATTAACTTTTGATTATCTCACAAAATGTTACCATCTCAAGTATGATTCCTTAATCACTATAATAAAAATTTGATTGTCAATCATATATTACTTACCACTACAGAATTCCGGTTTTCTTAATTCAACAAATTTATCACTTAAACAATTGACAACATGAAGAAAACAAGTATTACGATAAGTTTTTCCATTTGATCCACAAACAACTGGCCAACCATATGTTTGAACTGGTGTTTTCCAAACAGGATCACCAAATACTTGTGTTTTCCTTTTATTTAGTATACCTGTAGATGATGATGATGATGATGACGATGCTGAAGTTAATGTTTCTTGTCCATTTCTAAATGATGCATTACAATCTAATGGTAGTTTAGCACAATCCATACAAATTGGTTGACCAGTTAAATGATGTGGACTACATCTCATTTCAGCTCTTGGACATTGGATATTAGAACAAGTAGCTTTACCTGTGAATAAATTTAAATAACTTTAGTTAAATATTAATCATTTAAATGAATTATATGAAATTAAATCATTTACTAGTATAAGGGTTGTGGAGATTATTAGGTTTTTGATTGAGATCATGAACCGATTGATGTTAGACCACCTCTGGAAACCTGGAAGCACTGGACAGTCGTTTCGTCCTATTGTGAAACTCCCCAGCATGCGCATCCACGATCCCGTTCGCAGGATTCGAAACCAGGGCCTTCGGTCTCGTGCGCGAACACTTGACCTACTGGACCACTGAGCTGGCCAGCATCCAACAGTGTCAATGTCTAACCTCGACAAATCCACGAAATTGCGTGACCATCTTCCATTGTACTGAGGTAGATACCTGTCTCTACCCGACATGGATTAGCTTCACTGGTCACGGCTTCTCACTAGAACTCCGAGAATTCCCTCACGAAGTTGGTCACTAGTGAGCACATGTTAATTACTAGTATAAGGGTTGTCGAGAGTATTAAGTTTTTGACTGGGATCATGATCTCAATCAAAAATAAATCATTTACTTTTGAAGTGAACGGTACTGGGTTCGAGTCTCAGGATGAACATTAACTCTGCGATTGTTGGGTATGTTAGATCCCCAGAACTCACTCGGTAAATACCTTATTCTTGTAATTTTATTTTAAAATTTTGAATTTCTTGTTTTCTCACCAAAAGCGCACATTTTCACCTTCATGATGTATTTCCCACTTAGGAGGATCGTAAACCCTATTGGTTCGTTGTATCTTTTAGTATGCTATTTTGTAACGCTTCTCAAGGACAATTTTATGCTGTATATATCCGTTTGATTTGTGCCTGTTATTATTGCTCGTGCTTCTGGCTGCTTGCGGAATATATTTTCCCGTTCGAAGTTGGACTTCTGTCTCTAGATAGCGGGGCTGTGATGCATCAGAATAGCAAGCTTATTGGTCATTGGTTACAGAGTCTTTGTTCCGTTCGCAGACTAGGTGAACTCGTAATAGCTTCAAACATAGCAGAGATACAGGTACATTCAATTGACTAGTACCAACTAGGACGAAACACGCGTCAAGCTGGATTCCAATGCTAGCCACTACCCATTTTTGCTTAGAAAGCTTGTGAATTATGATAATATCAAGGCAATCCGTACAAGATGCACATATGCCAATAAGAGACTGATCAATTGCATTCTTAAATAACAAGGGAAAGATTCAACTAAAACAATGCCAAGTGAACTCATAATTGGTATTTCATACCACTTGAATAAACAGTGTTCTCTTGATTCAGGAGCCAATGTCGGTGACTTTTTTATTCGAAAATTTTTCATACGCTGGCTCCAAAGTCCTATATGGAGCGTCACCAGAGATGTAGGCATACCCTTCTGATGAGTTCCAAAGAGGGAGGGGGGAAGAAAGAGCATACCGAATTTTACTGCTAGCCATCACTTATCGAATTATTTATTTTAGATGTAAGACAGGTTATGGGGATATTAATGAACTAAACATTGTTTTTATCAACCAGAATTTTATAACTTTTCGGCAATGTAGAACGCGACTTTGAATTCTCTAGTAAACAATCTGATAATACACAGTTCAGCAAAGAAAATTTTTTTTTGAATCATGTTCATTCCGATAACATTTCTCAGTAGACTATTACTATTGAATTGGTTCAAATGCAATGATTTGAATTGTTTTTTTTCTGGTTAACGTTTTTTTAGCGAGTCAGTTTTCTCCTCCTTTATCCGGGCCCAAGAGGAGCTCCAAGGGGATTACGCCGAGAAATGGAGACAGACATGAAAAGAATGAACAAAAATTAGATAGAACTAGAAAAGAAGGCTCAGGAAAAAGTGGGTTGGAAAATGCTGGTCGGCAGTCTATGATCCATTGGGAATAGCAGGCGTAAGGAAGTAAATAAGTAAGTAAGGTTCAAATGCTAACAAGACAAAACATTATTAAACATTAATCTAATATGACATTTAAGGGAGCGTGTTTTTTGTGAAAATATGGTTTTCTTAATGGGAAGAATTCATTTTGGGATATTACTGAAAACTAAAAAGTCACTGGACAGTCATTCTGTTTTAATGAGACTTCTCAGTTGTTCACATTCACAACCATCCCTACAAACCAAACTTAGAACATTCAAGTGCCAAAATGAGTTTGAAATAGAATAAACCACATCTCCAGCATCAGTCAATTAGTAGTATACCATGACCATCATCTATCCTCAGCAATGCTGATGGTTTCACTCACAAAATACCACGGGCTCTAATCGTACCGTAAACATCGGCTACCTCACCTGAAGTTGTAGATTTTCCTTACTTATGAGTATTACTTAGTATAAACTCTAAGTTAAACAGGACTTCCTGCTGACTCTCAAAAATCACTTAGTGCCTAAATAGCCTAATGAAGTTTAAACAGTCTGACTGACTAATAATTATAGGATTAAAAATCAGGTCAAACGTGAAAGAGATTAAAATAAATATGCAGACAATAACAGGACAACGTCCAAGAACAACCAACAAAGATCTAGGTTGGCAATATCAAGCTGCCAGTCGTACCGATGTATGAAATTCGGATAGTTTACTTCTGTCTAACGTTTATCCTGTAGATTTTGTTCATATGACCATTCAGCTCGGAGAACGAAGCTCTCCCACCCTTGGTTTAAATATCATAGAATTTTAGATCAACTGTATAATTTACCAAAATCCAGCGATTAAATTATCAGTCATTACGTTATAATGAACCAGTATCTTGGGTTTCAAAACTATTCCAAATTGATATAAACTCATATGTATGAGAATACATGGTGTATACTGCTTTGTGTTCTTAGCTCTCAACTCACGTGACAAGAGAGATTGCATACAGGGATATAGTACAGGAAGAAATAATTAGTTCGCAGAAAGAAAGATATGAAGCGATTTTAATCTCATAGTTTAAAGGAAGACAGAGAGTGTATACACCTGAGTCATGTCACCAATAGCCTTCAACGTTCGGTTACGTTAGTCACGCGGATCGCAACTAAGTAGTCTACATCTACCAACATGTCTCAGACTAGAAATTATTGACTTCAAGCACTGACGCTAATTTTTGGTTTGGTCGCCCCTAACTTTCTTCCAGTCGTCTCCAACACTAGTCAGCATTGCGAGTAGTGGTAATCGGTGTTCAGGCATATGTAACACGGGGCCGAACCTCACAAACTAATTTGTCATCATTCCCTAATACTCTGAGTCTAACCTCACAATTACTTACCCGGTGATCGCAGAAGGTGAAAGTAATATTTCTAAGGCATCTGTGGTCAAATAATAGTAGCTTACGAGTATTTTCTACTCTTAATGGACAGGTTTCGCAGAGAATGATCAGTGTAGAAACAAAAGAACAATGAAATGTGAGACAATTGACTTGTATTTGCAAAAGGAATAGTTGAGTTTGAGACCATTGATTGATACTTTGCAAATGAAGCATTTACTGTATCGTTCACAACAATACTTTCACATCAATTCTTTGAACCAAAGTAGTAATGGAATTAGCAATACAACTCTCAATTTGCTTCAAGACTCAATGGCTGAAATATACGTCAAGTTGAGAGTTTCTTGTTAATATATCAGTTTATGGTTCATGTGAGATAATTAATGTAATTTGATGAAAAAGTGCTAGTGACCTCCATCAGATTATGTACCATCAGCCAGATCGTGCTCTCAAATGCCTTGGTACAGCTGAGGGTGGAAAGAATCTGCTATCCCTCTCAAAATGCTCTCACTTTGCGGCGCACATACGGTCACTGTCAAGTAAGTTCTACTAACTGCCTTCTCGCGGCGGGGGAGTTTTATTTCACGAAATTGAGAGGACGAAAAGCAAATATCCGGCTCTTTAACCGGGTTGGTGGATATAGAGGATCCATCTAGAGGAGTTGGAGAACCCTAATCCCAAACCATTGGTGCACATGGGCCCCAGGATTCTAAGGAAACAAATGGCACATTAAGCAATTATTGGTCGCCGGCTACCATGAGACTATATCTCCTGACGTTGCTCCACTCCCTTGTGGATCATACCTTTAGGTCGAAAGTTCCGGATGTGGCTCCCTAAGAAATTCACCTGTTCCGGTCTGGGCACCCGGGCAGTATTGCAGCCCACGCACAAATCAAGTGACTTGTATGGGGCATGTGTATTCGGTGCCTCTTTGAACCAATATTTACGTGTTCAAATAAAGAAATAAAGATCAATCAGAAACATGAATAAAAGAGGTCAGAATTGAGATTATTTGATGTTATTTTATGGTCCCAAGGGATTCTATATTAATATTTTAAAAATGATATATGAAATGAAAATGAGTTCAATACCCATACAGTTGGAGAAGCTGAAATACATCGATTTCTAGACACTAGGCTTGCAAACAGTAATACCGAAATATGGTCAGAAATATTACTATCAAATTTAAGTTATCATGGGTTCAAATCCTAAGTGCGGGATCGTCGATGCTCACTGTCAAGGAAGAATCCTATACTAGAACGAAACAGTTGTCCAATGCTTCCAGATTTTCCATGATGTTCTAGCTTACATCGACTGATCAATTCAACTATTAAAAGCAATATAGTAAATTACTAGTTTGGATCTATATTCAGAGCATTATGAACTATCAATGAAATCCTATAACAAAATAATTAGTCAATTTATCTTCACAAATCAGTAAATATATAGATATGAACTCATATTGTGATGTAAGCTACTTATATCCACATAAGTAGTATATGACGATAGTCAGGAATAGAATGTATTTCAGTAAAAGATTGAGTAGGAAAGAACAAAAACGGAAGATGATTGGTATGAAAATGCAGGAACAATGAAATCTGAGACGATAAACTGCTATTTACAAAAGAACAGTCAAGTTTAAGACAATGGATTGATATTTTGCAAATTAACTATTTACTGTATTTTCATTAGTTGAGATCATGAGTAAATTGAAGCTAGACCAGTATAGAAAATCCGGGAGAACTGGACGGCCTATTGTGGGACTCCTCTTTGGTAGTGCACATCCCTGACCCCACCTTGCGAGATTCAAACACAGGACCTGTCAATCTCGCGCATGAGCGCTTAACCACTGAGTCCTCCGGCATCCAACCGTGTTAATGACTAACTTCAACTAGTCCACGAAATTGAATAACACATCCACCATTATCTTCAGTGAGTTACTATCTCACAACAGACCCAGTTGAACTTCACTCGTCACTGCTTCTCACTAGAACTACAAAAAATACCTCTTGAAGCCAGTCGTTAGTGAACATTTGATGATTAGTATCAGAAGAGGTGTTTGTGGATATTATAGCAATTCAAATGGTTAAAATCATGAGTCAATCAAATCTAGACCAGCATAGAAAACCTGGAAGCACTGGATGACCGTTTCGTCCTAATATGGGACTCCTCCTTGGTAGTGCACACATGAGATTCGAACCCAGGACCTATCAGTCTTGCGCGTGAGCACTTAACCTCTAGACCACTGAATCTACTGGCATCCAACAGTGTTAATGTCATCATTTAATGTTCTTATTCATTTACAATATAATCAAAACTAAATATAACTTACTTCGACATTCTCCTTTATATGCTATTCTTACTTCTAATTGATTTTTTAATCCAGCTAATTTAAGATCACAACTATTATAAAATGTTTGATTATTTGTACTACATATTGGTTCATGAAATGTTGATTCAGGACAATTATTTAATGTTTTCCATGATTGTTCACTCCAATATTCACATGATGGACGTCCATCAAATTGACGTAATAAACAATATTCATTTGTATTACATATTAATTCTTTAGATAATTCATCATTAGAATAAATTGTCTTCTCATCAAAAATGGATTCATCTATATTTGATATATATGTATTTAGATCTGTTGATGTTCTACGATTCATAATGATGATATTATCATCTAGATTGTTTGTATAGTCTTGATTATCTGTTGTTGTTGTTGTTGATGATAATGACGATGGTAGTATTGTATTTGTTGTTGAGATTGATGAAGTCGATGATGGTAATGACGAAACATCTTTTCCTTCTTCATAATCATTATATAAAGTTTTAAATAATGAATTAAGATTGAAATTTTTTTCTGATAATATACTTAAATCGGAACATCGTAAACCTTCATCCGGACATGGAATTACTTCAAGACTTTCTTTTGGTAATTTACAACGTGCTTGTTTTAAATGACATTGATTATGAAAACGTCTTAAATTAGTTGTACATAATGGACCAGTTAAATAATCAGCTGTATTACATTGTAATCGACATTTACATTTTGGTTCATTATTAATCATACGACAATAATGTCCTTCAGGACATACATATCCTTTACATGTTGAAGGTAATTCTAAATAATAAAAAAAATGATAGAGATATGATGATAATAATAATAATAATCATTGTAAGAAAGGAAATGTGAAGATTTTTGGGTTTATGCAAACTAGATTAGAGGAAACTGGCCCACTTATCTCATACATATGAACAAATGCAGATAAAGACAATTAGTGTAGCAACAGTCTCTGCATTAGTAGGCCTCAATCTACATAAGGGAAAAAAGCAGGATCCTCAAATACAACACAGAGAACACCAATCCAATAACACTTGATGTCGAAAATCTAGAAGATGTGGAATCCTTCACCTAACTAGGAAGCATCACAGATGAAAAAGGAGGATGTAAATCCATGATTGGCAAAGCAACAACACCATTCCTACAATTGAACAATATACGGAACTCAAAACAACTCTCTCTCTCAATCAATATCAAAGTCATAATCTTCAATATGAACGTCAAGTCAGTTAGTTCTACTGTATGGAGATGAAACTTCCACAATTACTACAACCATCATCAACAATGTACAAGTATTTATGAATAGTTGTCTACACGTGATACTCAGTATCCGTTGATCGGATACCATCGGCAACAGCTTACTGTGAGAGAGAACAAACCAACTTCCAATTGAAGAGGAAATTAGGAAAAGATGATGGAAATGAATAGGACATACATTACGGAAATCACCAAACTGCATCATGAGGCAAGCTCTAACTTTGAATCTTGAAGGGAAGTGAAAATGAGGAAGATCAAAGAGCACATTACATCGGGAAATAGAAGCAGAATTGAAAAGGATGAATAACAAGTGGAAAGAAGTTGAAAGGACTGCGGAGGACAGAGTTGGATGACGAGTGTTGGTGAGAGGCCTATGCTCCTCCACGAAGAGTAACAGGCGTAAGTAAATAGATCAGAGGAACTTTCAATCCAATTTGGATCAAGATAGACCACTTTTATTTTAAATGTTTGATTATAGTTTAACAATCAAATTGATTATTATAACCTAAACTTAAAGTTAAGAATTTTCCAGTTGATTAACACTTAGCAACAACCGATAACCATAAATTTTTAGAATACCTGTTTAGATACTTCAACTTTGTTGATACATACAAATGGAAATATCAAAGTAATTTCACTCTCCTGTCCACCCCCCACACATACATAGACAAAGGTAACTTTAGCTTACTAACACTAATATGTAAATATCGCAATTTAGGACTTTGAACAGAATATAAGTAAATGATTGCTGCTTGTTTTTTGCACACATAACCTGTTGAGAAAAGTGTCAATAAGCTGATGACATTTGACCAAAAACTAAGGAAGATAGAATACTGCACTGACTAAGGAATATCCCATCTAATTTATTGTTTCTCTGACATAGTGTTGTGGACTTTAGATCCCCGAAACTCATATTTTGTAATTTTATCTTTGTAGAACTTGTATGCAGATGTATAGTTGGGCATTTCTTACCACCCACGCACATAGTCAATTGACGAACTTATCGATCAAATGTTTAAGAACTTCCATGGCAATATCGATTATATATATTTTGTATAAATACGCTTGGTTTGTGTGCTTAAGGGACCTGGTATCTTATGGTTGTCTGCAGAATACACTTTTCTACATCTTACCAAGACTTCTGGATCGAGTTAGCTGAATCGGGGACAACGGACCAGTATAGCCTATCGAGTCCCTGAATCCTTGATTCTTCGTTCCGTTCCGAATAAGACGAATCAGTAGTAGCATTCAAGTTTAACGAACATAACACATAGTCATCATTTTTGATGAAATATGATATTATATCAGGCCTAATCTTTAAATACTTCTAGGAATGTTTTAAACTGTGGTAACCGAGATGGAAGTCTATCTTTATGAGAATAAGTTAAAGGGTATAAGATTGACAAACCCTGAACTTTGTAAACTATATGTTTTTTCTAATCTCTATGTGTTATATTTATTGAATATTCAAGTCATATTGAGAAAAGTGGTCTTAAAACCAAATCTTTTTCAGTGAATCGCTGTTATATCCTGGCAATAATACTGAATGGTAACGGTTAGAATCGATTTATGGGCTAATACTATATGTATTTTATAATTTTGTAATTGTTAAGTAATTAGACTATTCATATTCATGTTTCTCTTATCATAAGCTTAACTTTGACCTACATACTATTATTATACGATTTACCATTCTTAAGTTATGTCCAGCCTATCAATTACTATTTCCCACATTCACAACCACATTTGGCTTAATCTTGTATAAATGTTTTTTTTTCCTATTTTATGGTACGATGTGGTCTGTCTGGTTGGTATATAAAGCGCAGTATGTTTGAAATACATGATTCATATCACGGAGGTTGAAATTGATGTTCTGGATTCAACATTGGTGGCACGATTAGTCAGGAAACAGGACCGGCAAATACTCTAGACTGCTCGTACTTGTTTTATGCGTCATTGGTTCAGTCGATAATTCACTGTTCTCTAATTGGCGGTATCATTACGTAATGTATTAATAGGGACACAATTACACTGTTATGCATTATAATGGACTTCAGTTATTCAGTGTTTAATTTAAAAAAGTCACATCAACATCTTAAATCCAAAGATCTTTCATAATAGTCTAAGGATGATTCTTTCAATAGGTTCTTATTTTAGGGAGAAAAAAACAACTAGGCACTCCACTATTTACGATACATTTTGCTTGGAATTGATAACATTGAATAGCCAGTAGTGAAATTAAATATGTATATGTATTCGTATTGCACAAGCAAGTGGCTATCAGGACTTAATAGTTAAGTGGATAATACGATAGCGTTTGAAGCGAATGGTATTGGGTTCGAGTCTCAGAGTAAACATCAACTCTGAGATACAGGTATATCCAGTCGAAAAGTCCAAAATAGGACGAAACATGCGTCCTGGATTCCACTGCTAGCTACTATCCATATTTGTATATTTCTCACTGTTTCTTAACGTCTACATCATCATTCGCAGCAACTAGAAATCATATTCCAACAAGGATTTAATAAATTAACATTACAAATACAAACAGACTGAAAGTTCACAAGTGTCCAGTTTCATTATTCATTAGTTCTTATTCCTGATGGAATTCTCCTTACTAGATTGTAATCAGATCAGTTCTAAAATCAAGACAATGATGAAATTAGTTACTACTCACTGTCAAAAACTCAATTCGTACAGGGAGTAACTCGTAGTTCAAATCATATTATGATAATATTTTTGACCGTAACACTAGGTAACATCCTTTCGAACACCATGGATAACATAAGCTCTACCTCAGCATCACAAAAAATTCTCCCTAAACAACGTGCTTCCTTGATCAAGTAAAACTTCTTATCAGTATTGAGTTGTGGAGATTATTAAGTTTTTAATTGAGATCCTGAACTGATTGATGTTAGACCACCGTTGAAAACATAGAATTAATAGACGGCCATTTCGTCCCATTGTGGGACTCTTCAGAAGTGCACATCCACGATCCCGACCGCGGAATTCTAACCCAGGGCCTTCAGTCTCACACGCGAATGCTTAAGTTCTAGATCACTGAGCTGGCCAGTATCCAACAGTGTCAATGTCTAACCTCGACTAATCCACGAAATTGCGTGACCATCTTCCATTGTACTGAGGCAGAAACCTGTCTCTATCCGACACGGATTAGGACGAAGCGGTCATCCAGTACTTTCAGGTTTTCAATGACAATCTAACATCAATCAGTTCATGATCTCAATCCAAAACTTTGTATGATATTTATTGTGGTATATAATGACTTTCATAGTAAATAAACTATAATATCAATACTATTTACCTTCATTACATGCTTGAACACAATTCGGTGTACCAGATTCAAATAATAAATGATCCGTTAAATACTCTTGTTGAGTTATTTGACGATTTAAATAGAATCCACCACGTTTACAACATTCTAATTGTGATATACTCTCTTCCATTAATCCAATACAATTACCACTATTTAAACGTTTGGCAAAACATGATCCACTTGTCACTGTTTTAAATTTAAAGAAGAAACAAAATAGATGCGGTGGATGAAACATAAGGAAAAGCTTATATTAAACTTTCAATGGTTAAGATCATGAGTCAGTTGAAGCTCACGATCTTAACCATTGAAATTACTACAATCTCCACAAAACCCATCTGATATTATAGTAAACTGTTAGATTGATGGTTCTTTTTTCTGGCTAGCGTCTTTTTTCTTGCGAGTTAGTTTTCTAAGGGAGACTTGGAGAACTACGAAAGCAATCATCCAGAAGATACAGGTGTTTATTAACAGTTGTCTATGCAAAATACTTCGGATCCGTTGGTCATACACTGTTAGCAACGACCTACTGTGGGAGAGAATAAACCAGATCGCGGTGGAGGAAGAAGTCAGGTAATAGCGCTGAAAATGGATAGGTCACAGATTGAGGAAAACACCTAACTGCATCACAAAGCAAGCGCTCACTTGGAATCCTCAATGCCAAAGGAGAAGAGGAAGATGAAAGAACACATTACACCTAGAAATGGAGACAGATATGAGAAGAGTGAACAATAATTGGATAGAACTAGAAAGGATTGTCCAGGACAGAGTGAGTTGGAGAATGAATTTTCCATAACTTCAGCTCGCATATTTATTGAATAAAGTAATATACCTCTTAATAGTTTTGTAATTGTGAGGACGACCTACAGATAAGTTCGAAGAAGCTCTAAGAATTTCAGAAAGATTCAAGGATATTCCATCCAATCATGTTTTCAAAAAATATTCCAGATGTAACTTCCCTATTGAAAAAACGTTAAAACCTTTGTATACGAACTGGATGACTATAATGATGATTTCGTTTTCACTAAAAACTATAAACACATGAGGAATTTATACCATATTGGACACTGTTTACAATAGAATTCCTACTCAATTGTCTTCTATATTTTCATTTATAACTTGGAAGGTTCTAGCATTCGAGTGTTCCAGTTGTACATGGTATATCAAAGAATCTAAGCTCTAGATATAACAGTAATTGTAAACTATTCAACACGTAGTCAAAATTAACCACTAGTTTCTTCAATACACATATGGTTTACTCTTTTGAAACAGAAGAAATAGGTACATATTGTACCGATTATTATGGATGGGTTTTATGTGATAATGGTTTTTAGGAATCGGATCAAGGATGCATGTGATTCAGTAACATACTGCAGTTGTATTGTCTTTAAGTTTGTGACTTGTTTGAATATGACAAATGACTTAGGCACTATTGTAATGTTATATCAATCAGCTTCTGGTTAGTTTCTACATCGTCATCATATACCAGCGCATAGTTTTCTTGAAGAGAAGAATTGTATTCCTTTTATTTAGTGCAGAAGTGAAACTTGATCATCTATACAATCATCATAAACTTGTAGTGATCTACTTTTATCAAGAGAACGCGACTGGTTTAATGGAAACAATTATGATTATAACCAGTTGTAGCAGTGATTGTTTTACTGTACTTGTTTGTTTAACTGTACTAAAGACATACATTCTTCCGTTGCTTATGATCTTGCAAGTACTAACGTTTGCTCAGGGATTCCGCTTGTACTCCTATCGCATGGTCTCGGTACTCTTTCGATACCACAAGATCGTCAACAAATATATCTCGCTACAACCTCCAATCGCCTTCTGACATCTGGTACGCAACGTTCTTGTAGTGGTGATCACAGTCGACCGCGACTCGACGCCACACTACAAACTTATAATCATAGATGAATATTTGAATAGGGATTTGTGGAGATTGTCGTAATTTAACAGTTGAATTCAAGAAAAGATCTAAGTAAGAATATCATTTAGACCGAAGGTAATGAGTTCGAGTCTTACATGAAGGATTGTGAATATACATTGTCAAGGAGTAATCCCATACTAGGACGAAAAAGGTCACTTGTTGCTTCCAAGTTTTCAATGATGATCTAGCTTAGATCAATTTGTGAATTCACCTGTTAAAATATTTGAATATAAACTAAAAGTCTATCTATAATTAAGCTTGAAAAACGGGGTAAATCAGCTTGTAATAAGTATTGTTTCATCATAGATATTGGATGACATAATGAAGAAAATGATGTAATACTTGTCGGTTGGTTTTATTTATTACCCAACTTAGGACTCTTTTGTTTAGTTGAATCAATAATGGCATATGAGATCATTTGAATAGATACCTGGTTACTTTCTTTGTTTACAACTGGATGTTTAATGGTTGGAGTATTCAGAACATGCGTTTCATCCTATATGCGATTAGTCAATTAGGTGTGCTTGTATTCTGTTACTAATCTTTACAATAAAACTAAGATATAATACTTATCATTTCAAGTATACTACTTATTATTCGTAATAGTTTGTATTGTCTCATTGTAGATATTAAGGACTGGATTGAATCATTCTATGATAGACCATAAGTTCTACTATGAAACAATAAATTCTGAGTTTAACCTTTAGGATGAATGAAAATAACACTGAGATCACGGGTCATTATAAATGAGACAAGATATCTATTATATTCACTTGGTATTGTTTGTTTGAATCTTATTGGTATATGTGCATTCTGTGTAGGATGCCTCTATATTGCCTCAAGTCGTATGGATTCTAAACAAAGATAGATGGTGGCTAGCAATGGAATCCAGAGTGCTGGGTTCGAAGTCCCTGAGTCACCATCAGCTCTGAGACGCAGGCACATCCAGCTGACGAGTCTCAAACAGGACGAAACACGCATCCTGGATTCCAGTGCTAATCACTACCCATCTTTACTTATAATATAGAATATATTTGTAAACAAAATGTGAAGAAAAATAAAACGGACAATAGGTATAGAAATAATCATAAGACTCACTTGCTAAGCCTAATTTACCCGAATGTAAAGATAAAGAGGCTACAAACTTGATTTATCATAGCTCTTTTGTTGTATATAAAAGATATGATTGAACCTAATAAAGAAACGTACCAAGTATACGATAAACTACACTAAATGATTTGGGTCTATCTACTGTATGATGTTTATTAGTCAACTGTAATAGAATGAAGCTGTATATTCGTTTTGTCATACCTTATCACAAGCACAGAGAGAAGTGTTCATTAACTTATTAACGAAATTGTCTAATTGTAACCACCTCCCACCCCCACCCCACCGCTTTAATGTAGTTCTTTGAACAGAACAGTCTAAAGTCATGGATACATATAAATATAGTAAAACTAGGTAATTTATCCTTTACGTCCATTCATCTTTCATTTTCATGGAGAGGTAATATGAAAAGTGAAACTAACTTCATTAGACCATTATCACCTTTTTGTTTCGCTTTTATCTTTTTGTTCTATAATATGAACAATACATAACAAGAATATTTTTCTTTTCCATTTGGAATATAATATAGTTGACAAATGAACTTGTCATTAGAAACGGATTCATAATGTTCACTATTGTAATAGTAGTAATAAAATAATAATAATTGAATAGTTGAATTCATGAATCGATTTAAAGTAGATCATTATGGAAAAGTCTGAAAGTATTGGATAGTTGTGATCAATGGAAATCAACTATGTATGTTGTAAAGCAGTTACTTACTGAAAATAATGATACACGGTTGAGTAATATCATGGATTGGTTGAAGTTAGATATGAACACTGTTGGATTCCAGCTCAATGGTCGCATACGAGATCGAAGGTCCTGGATTTGAATCTCGCTTGGCGGGATCGTAGATGTACACTGTCAAAAAGGAGTCCTACAATAGGACGAAACGTCTATCTAGTAGTTCCAGGTTTTCCATACTGGTCTAACTTTAATTAACTCATGAATTCAATCATTAAATTACTAAAATATCCATACCCCCCCCATTCTGATAAAAGAATAACAGTTTATTGATCATAGATTTCTTTGAATGAAAAGAAGTAACTATTTTTAATCAAATGTCATGCTTCTTAGAGATGACTTTGAATGATACTGATTGAAATCACTGACAATACTACTATGAATGTTCGTCATAACATTTCACTATATGAGCAGTTAACTCTGTTGTATATATTTAAGAGAAAGTGATTTGATACGACGTGACAAATTGAATCATTCAAATAGTTCATAATGTCGATGATTGTAACAGAATAAGAGTATTATTATCCAAATAATACTTAGAACTTATTAGAACTTGCCAGAACTTGTATTCTCCTATTTCTCATACTGAGAACTATAGTTACTTAATTCTAGTTTCCATAAGCTTCGATAGTTGATGAAGCTTAAATGGGCCGAAACTCATCACTAGGATTCCACCATTAATTACATTGGAAACATACTAAAGTTTTTGTATTTGGAAATTACAGTATACAAATAAGTAAATTAGTCACTAAGTTTGAATATGTTGTTTGTTTTTATCTAGACAAAGATGAAGAACTATAAAACTTCCTTAATGTTCAAGGATAAAACAACTTCATAAAGAATCTAAACCTCTACATACGTACGGTATGGTTTGTCAGTAAGTATTTGATACAAATGATTAAACTGTTTACCCAGTTAGATGAGAAAGTAGCTGAGTGGTTTTAGATGTCTGATGGAACAGTTAATGGTCACTTATTCTTATTGCATGATTCAAAGATATTAACATCTCATAGACATATAGATGAAAATATTCAAAGTAATACATTAGAATATTGAATAACAATTGATCATTCAAACAAATCTCATAGTGAATAGAATAGAAGGAAAACACTTCCTAAAAGAAGACAAATCATCAATAGGACGAAATGTATGTCTTGGATTCCACTGTTAGCCACTATCCATCATTGCTTACAAAAAGCTTGTGAATTAAGGCTAATATCGAGGCAATACGCACAGGATGCACATATATCAATAATAAGAGACTGATCAATTGCAGTCCTAAACATCAATGGAAAGATTCAATTAAACAATATCAAGTGATTTTAAACTTCAACCTAATGAACAAGTTAGTGACTAACAAATTCAATAGTGAAGTGATTAACATGATGTCACTTGAAGCGAACGGTATTGGGTTCGAGTCTTAGAGTGAACATCAACTCTGAGATGCAAGTACATCCAGCTGACGAGTCCCAGATAGGATGAAACATACATCCTGGATTCCACTGCTTATAACACATTATATGATTGATGGTTATAAGCATAATAATGATCTTTATTGTATTTCATGTTTAAAAAGTTCTTAAGTTTGACAACAACAACAACAAAAAACAGTCTAATGTCAGCACATGTCTGACAACAAAAAAGTGACCTCCAAAAAATAATATTAGTCAATATAACCTGTGAAGGGGAATTTCTTTGATGATTTGTTTATTATACGAAATTAGAAAATAATACTAGTAAACAAAATTAGTAGTATTTTTTACAAATTATAACTCAATATTAATACTAGTGTGGTGTGTACTACTGATGTCACTAGATATAAGTAGTATGTATGATCAATCGAAATTGAAATGCCTGGTAGCGGAAGATTAACCAGATTTAAGAAAAGAGAACGAGGACAAAGTATGATTGATATGGAAATGATGGAACAACCAAGTCTGAGACAACTGATTGACATTTTGTAAATGAAGTATTCACTGTATGGTTCTCAGATTGTAGTAAGACATTTTGTAATGTTTATACTCAAATACAATTGGTTGTCCCCATTTGTGTCCTCGTTCACTTCATGATAACTATTAAACATCGGAGAACACTGATAAATTTCTTGTATGTTTCATTCTCTACGAATGTTTACTGATAATTCATTATAAGCAAAAGTTGGGTTATAACAAAGTATTTCCGATGTATCAAAAGGGGTTTTGTGACGGGATCATGGATGCGCACTGTTGAGCAAGAGTCTCACAATAGGACGAAACGGCCATCCATTGCTTCCAGATTTTCCATGGTTGTCTAGTTTCAGTTGACTCATAATCTCAACTATCAAAATATTTCAGATGTATTTGCGATACATAGTTGGATACAGTAACAGAAAGGTCTGTTTCATATAAGTTTCATACCATTTAACACATATCAGTAAAGTACATCACCAATCATGAAGCAATTAATGTTCTTTCTCATTGAGATTCAAGAGTGAGTCAACTGATGTCATAGTTGGAGGAAGTCTATCACAATTCGAATAGTTGAGTGATGATATCTTTAAGTGACAGATTTCAATCGTATATAAAAATATAATTTCGCCTCAAGACTATATATATATATATACACACGCATACCTTCTTGGCAAGTACCAACTAGTATGAAACTCTGATCAATGCTGGACTTCCTAACGGCTGATTACAATCACCTAACATATTTTTATGTTTCAATCAAAAGTGACAACTTTATTGAAATGTCATTCGTCTATCAATTACAGTATTAATCTATGCTGACTAACATAATGAATTAATCATCAGAAATAAGGATTTGTGGAGATTGTTGTATTGTAACAGCTGAATTCACAAGACAATCTAAGCTAGACCGTCATTTAGACCGAGGTACATAGGTTCGAGTTTCACGTGAAGGGTTGTGGATGTGCACTGCCAAGAAGGAATCTAATACTAGGTTGAAAATGATCATCTATTGCTTTCAATTTTTCAATAATGATATGAACACAAACATTGGTACAAGTAATCAGCAAACAGATATGCGCCATATAAATCATTCGACTTGTGTTAGGGCTTGGATACTACCTGGTGGTTTAACTAGGGGGTCACAGTCGGAGCCTTCGACCTAAAGGTCTAATCCACAAGGCAGTGGAACAATGTCAGGAGATGCATTCCCATGGTAGCCGGTGACCAACGAATGATTCATACGCCATTTATTTCCTTAGGATCCTGGAGCCCATGTACACCATTGGTTTAGGATAAGAGTTTCCCAACTCTCCTAAATAGATCCTCCATATCCACCAACCTAGTTAAATCGCTGAACATTCGTATTTTCATCCTCTCAATTTCATAAACAATACCCCAATCACAAAAAAAAGCAGTAAGTAGAACTTCCCTATCAGTAGTTGTATGTACATGACCATTTAAGTGTACTTCAAGAGAAACAACTGACTCTCTTCACTTTCAACCATACCATCAATTCAATAAATATGATCATTTATCAATCAATCAATAATCAACCAATCAATAATAACATAATCAATAATAATCAATCATGATTATTTTTTATTTAACTAACCTGTAGTACTTTCAATACAATAATTGATGGATAATAAATTGATTATTAAATTAATTAATAATCCTGATAAGAAATAAATTTTCATTATAGAATATCCATACCATAATGTATTATTGATATGATGTAATAGAATCATTTCTATATAGGAACTGTTTATAGATAGATATATCTTAATGTCTAAATGATATTGATCTCTTTCTAAATAAGAGTTCACTTCCTTTTTGATGTATAGTATATCACTGATGTATTATGACTAATACTACTACTATTAGTATTATTATTATTATTAGTAGT